TGTTTATATAATAATAATAATGTTTTGCAAAATGGATTAACATAATATAAATATTACTTTTTATTAAGATATATTAGTAGTAATAGTAGTAGTAGTAGTAGAATTTAAGTGATGTGACATGTAGCCAACATACTCAGAAATTGTGCTTTGCATTTATCCCATCCTAGTGCACACACACACACAGTGAACACACACCCAGAGCAGCGGGCAGCCATTTGGATTTTTTTTTCTTTTCGGACAGTGTCCGACTGTCTAACCATTAGGTCATGACTGCCCCCTTAGTTCACTTGTTGGAGATATGACCAAGACACATCTGTGATATGATATAATATAATATAATATAATATAATACTACAAAGGATATTCAGTGACTTCGAAATCTTCATATTTTAAGCTCCTGCTTTGTGCCTTGGGCTTTTCAAGTACTTTTTCGCAGAGTTGCTTGGAGTGCTCTATTCTGCTACAGTGCTGACTGACCATAAGTTGGACCTTCCAGATGTGTTTGTACTTCCAGGTGTATTTATACTGCAGTCATCTGACTACACATTGGTGGGGATTTAAAGTGTTTATTTGACCTTTCCACATATGTACATACCACACCTTTCCACGTATGTACATGTGTGTGTGTGTGTGTGTGTGTATATACATATATATATGTAACCCCTCTCTCCCGGGTCCGTTCCGCCACACCTCGTTCTCGCTCCGAGTGGGTCTCCGGCATGGGAGGCGGACGCACTAACAAGGAGGCTAAATGACTGCAGCCACTAGCGTCAGTCGCTAGTGCGTCTCTTGAGATCAGGGGAGTGAGGTTTACCTGCACAGCACCTACTCACTGGCCTCCGTTACACTCACCCCCCTAAACCTCACTCCCATCCGGGTCACGGCACCAATGTAACCCCTCTCTCCCGGGTCCGCTCCGCCACACCTCGTTCTCGCTCCGAGTGGGTCTCGAACCCGGGTCTCCGGCATGGGAGGCGGATGCACTAACAAGGAGGCTAAATGACTGCAGCCACTAGCGCGTTTCTTGAGATCAGGGGAGTTAGCTGCACAGCACCTACTCGCTGGCCTCCGTTACATATATATATACATCCATACAGTCAAACCAAAATTTATTCTGACACCTTTAACATTTCACACATTATCACAGTTTATTCGCTATAGTTTAGAAAATGGTAATAAAAAGAACTCAGAGTTAAACTGTGTCAGAACAAATTCAGCTTGATAATGTCAGATAACACTTAAGCAAAACATGGTCAGGTTAAAGTGTTTGAATAATTTTTGGTCCCAAATTTTTATCAATTTTACTGGTAGTCCACTGTATGAAGAATTTTTAGGTATAATATGTCACATATATGTTGTTTTTCGTTTTTATATTATTTGTGTATATACAGTATGCTATGCTATTTAGTTTTTTTTTATTAATATTTTGTATTTTATTTTATCTTATTTAGTTGTGTTTATCAATGTTTTTATTTGATATTACATTTTAGTATTGAATTATTCTTGTATAAATGTATATATGCTTTTTGTTTTCTTTGCACTATTGTGATAATCCATCTTTATTTGACCCTCTAACTCTAGCACTTTCTATTCTTTTTTATTTCTACTTCATCTATTTATCTTCTTTTTTATAAAAAAAAACGAACACTAGCTTTCTATTTTTCTATTCTATCTACTTGTTTTTCTTTGTGTGTGTGTGTGTGTGTGTGTGTGTGTGTGTATATATAAAATACCTTGCTATGTGTACTGCATTAGGCTAACCGAGACTTGTCATTTGCACTTACATATTGTTGCTCTTTTGTCAGTTTTGATTGCTTCTATTGTCCTCATTTGTAAATCACTTTGAATAAAAGCGTCTGCTAAATGACTAAATGTAATGTAATGTAACGTATAAGTAAACCATGGCTTATGTTCTCTGTTAGGAACAAACCTGTCATCATATATCAAACTTGACATCTGAAAATGTTGGAAAAATATATTATAAAGCATCTTTATACAGTATATACTTCATGGAAAGCATATTTCCTGTCTGTAAATCATATATGATGTTTACATGATAATCTTCTAAATGCACCAAAATATCTAGTGATCATGGGGCTCATTTTTTTAAATTATAAATGACAGTAAAAAGTTATTTGTTTACTTAATTTAATTAAGCTATTTGATGAAAATTACAAATTGCAAAGCTTTTCCATATTGAAGTCAAAGCTGATTCATTTTTATGTAATGTTCAGCAAAAACAGTGCTTACAAACAGATAGTCCAACCCCAAACTTGAGCCAGTGTTGGCTTATGCATATCACATATTACCTGGAATAGAAGCACACATATTTAAAAATTAAGCTTTAAAAATGTTAGTCATGTGTTATTCATTATGACTATAGTTTTATTGCTGTGTTTTCCCTAGATAATCACAGAAATAGGCATAATGAAGTGTTGTAATGATTCTATTGACCTAACCAGATGTCAGATAATACTAAAGTGGGACTTAATTCAGTCAAAAGCCCTTTTTCCTCCAAGAGGGGCCCTTTCAGGAAAGGCCAACCTAATGCAGGGTTTCTGTTTTGTTTTGAATATACATATTTTTCTTTATCTACATGTCTTCGTGCTCTCTGTGTATCTACCTCTCTCCCCTCCCCTCACTAGTATTGAATGGCACACCAGGCGTAAGCTGGTTGTTGTGACTCATCGTGTCGTCTTGTTCTCCCTCCCCATTAGCTCTGCCTGCTTTTCAGACGGGAGAGGGAGACGCAGCCCCTCCACCATTGGTGACCTCCTGTTCTGCTCATGTACGCTTGCACCCCTCCACCAACGTCACTATCGATCCGCATGCTTCTGTCTCTTTCTCTCTAAGCCCATCGCCCCCAAAAAGCCCCGTCTCTATTCTGATGTTTTTAGGGAGGAGTTGGTCAATTTGAATTAACTCGAGTTTTTTTTCCTGCTTCTTTTGGTAATCCAAATGAAAAAGCATTTCTAATACACAAACGTGAGACTTCTGAAATGTTTGTTTTTGCGGTTGAGATAAAATGTGGCAAGTCCTCTATACTACTATAGTACGCTAGAGCCACAGCAGCGCATATGTTGTTGTTGTTCCTGTCAGTATCATAAGGGGGCAGTTGAATTTGAGGGCTGAAAGTGAGTCATCAATGGAGGAATAATCATTTAGCTCTAAAACACAGGAAGAAATTGAATCAGAGAAAAACAGTGATGCTCTTGTGCCAGGAAATAATTTCTTATATCCTAGGGCAAAGCACCTCTAAAACATTAAATGTTTTAATAGTATGTCTCATTCACTCTTTCAGCTATTTGTTAAAATCGTCTGTCTGCATAAAGTGATCAAAACCTCTTATTTAATAATGGAAAATTGGACATTGAATCAGCTCGAGTTGCTGTCATTAAACTGGATTTATTAATTACAGTTGCAACAATTTCCTCATGCAGTCCTTTCTTTAATCCGGTTTTCTTAGAGTATCTAATTCTTTCCAAACCATAAGTTAATTTGTGGCTTTTCGTGACAGAACAGCATGAAGGGTGAAGATTTTTTAGTTGCTATGGACACACAGAGCGAAAGCTTCATAGTGCCTCATTATTTAAAGGCTTTGACCTCATGCACTTGAGGGTGCACAAAATGTATCGATCTGCAGCGGTTTCATTTGTAAATGATAAAACTATAAAAAGAAAATGAAAAACATGATTCAAAACTGCGGAAAAGCAGTGGAATATAAAGTAGGGACATGAACATTCAAACTTGAAACTGAAAATGGGAGTGACTCACGTATGAGCGCAGGCACTATCATAGGCGTCTCTCCCATGAGGTGAACAAAAACCAAATTTCTTGTTCTTAGCGTGAGATTAAATTGAAAATCATGCCTTGTGACATTCTGATGCACGACCCTTGCTTTTGCTCTCCCCAATGTATTTTCCTAGCTAGTACTAATGACACATATCCATTAGAAGCTACTAATTACTCTGTCTTTGTGGTGTGCTGCCCAGCGGTGGAGTGGAACTGTTGGCCTATGGCGTCTGCCTCGGAGCATGTTGTCTGTGTCTCACAAGTTAATCAGTGTGCAGTGGAGTGAAGGAGAAACAAAAAGATCCGCATATGCTGTAATACAAGTACTGCCTGTTTTTGCCAGCAAGGAAACAAATGCAGCTTTAGATTTTTGATGGAATTCATACAATGTTTCTAATGTAATGAAATCGGAATACGATTTTTGACATATGACATTTTTCTGAAGAAACTGCTCTTTTCATTACCATGAAGCCAGCGAACAGGAACTGTCAAGCTCAAAAAATCACCATAAAAGCATCATAAAAATGGTTCAAATATGACTAACGTGCTGTATTCCAAGTCTTCTGAAGCCATATTTATTTATTATTTAATTTTTTTTAATTTTCAGACCAGTGACTACAATAAAAGAAGCAATGAATGGGGTTTGATTTTTCAAATTGATTGGCACTTCAGGTGGAAAACAAACACTCTGACCTCAACAGATTCTTCTTCATAGGCCTACTTTTTTTTTTTTTTCAGTTAAAGATGTGAACGAATCATGAGTTTTGAGAGGTTATTAGGCATTTTAACAGCAAATATTTTGTGTCAGTGCTATTGAGGATGGATTTGTATTGTTTAGGGTATGACATGTGGGTGGGTGGATGGCTCTGGGAAATGGACTCAAGGTGTAGCTGCCACTGTGGCTCTAAGAGACGCTTTCAACAGGAGAGACGATGACTCATGCATTGCTTTTGAGTGAGAACACAGGATAGTGTCTCTAGTGTGAGCGTGTGTGTTTGTAAGGAGAAGAAGAAGGAGAATGCGCAAATGTGTTTTCCAACCTCTTTGAAAAGTAGCAACAAACTTAATGGACAGCAGCCTCGTACTTAGAGCAAAATCAATGTTTGGTTGAACATTAAGCAGCTTTGTTTAAGCCGAAAGTAGCTTTCATCATGGATAAAACATTTTACTTTTGTCTTTCTGTTCTGTTTTTTTTTGTTTTCCAACAGGTTGTCCTGGACTTGACCTTTGGGGCCGGAGGTCACTCAAAGGCCATCCTGCAGTCGGTTCCTGGTATAACGGTGGTGGCGGCAGATCGTGACCCCACAGTGTTCCAAATGGCTCAGCATTTAGCTGAAGAATACCCGTGAGTTTACTATTTAATCAAAGTCGGACACAATACAGGAGCTAAACTGTCAGCAGAACTCGACACGTGTCTTAATACCTTCCTGAGACCCGCTCCGTCCCCGTTGCGATCAAGTGGGTGATGGTCACGGGGCTCTGTGGTTTTTGTTTGTGTGTCAGAGAGAGATCCTCCAGTGCAGATACAGAATCCCCACTCTCACCCACGCTCAGTCGAAAGGCCCCAGTGTCTCATTTGTCAACGGGGCCTAAGGCTTCAATGACAGGGAGAGACGCTGCCGCCCACGCAGGTTCCCCTGTTTCCTGCGTGAGAGAGTGTAGGATGAGGAGAGAGAGAGAGAGGGAGAAATAGAGCTAGTGTTTAATAAAAGAGAACCAGAGGAGAAGGCATGAAGGCTTTGCGGGCGTGTGGTGTGTGCGCGTGTGCATGAGGCAGCACTGAAGAAAGCTCCAAATGAGATGTTCCTGACTCTGCAGCGTGGGTAGAGATACCTCTTTACGTGGATTCCGGGGAAACCTGTCTCAGAGGGACCGCTGCTACAGAAACCAACGTAGGAGAGAGGAATGAGAGAGGGAGGGTGAGAGAGAGAATCAGGACAAGCTATTCTGTCAGCAGCTATATACTCCACCAATGAGGCTTTGACTCCCACTCATGATGAGAGGCTGGAGAAGCTGAAGAAATCATGCAATTAGCCAATATTATTGGATGGCTGTGTAAGAGGAGCAGGCAGCCCACGCAATCATCTCTCTCTCTGCTCATCTTTTTTCCTCTCCTCTCCTATACTCTCTTCTCTTCTCATCTTGTTTTCTCTCCTTACTCCTCCTCTTGTCTCTTCTCCTCTCATCTCCTCACTTCTTACCTCATCTTGTTTTTTATCCTCTCCTTATTTCTCTTTCTCCTCTAGCTTCTTTTCTTCTCTCGTTTCTCTTTTCTTCTTCTGCTCTCGTCTCCACGTTTTGTCTCACTTCTCATTGTTTCTCCTCTCTTCTCCTTTCCTCTCATATCTCCTCTTTTCTCCTCTTATCCTGTTTCCTTTGCTTTTTTCACCTCTCCTTTCTTCTCATTTTGTCTTCTCTCATGTTTTCTACTTTTTTCTCCTCTCCTCTCCTCTCCTCTCTCCTTTATTCATCTTTCTTTGTCTTGACTTGTGTCTTCTTCTCTCCTCTTTTTTCCTCTCCTCTTTCTTTTCTCATCTCCTCTTTCTTCTCCCCTCATCTCTCCTGTCTTCTTCTTTCTTTTCTCCTCTTGTTTAATCCCCTCTTTCTCTTCTCTTATTCTCATCTCCTCTCCTTTCCTCTTCTTTCTTCTCCTCTCTTCTCATCTCACCTCCTCTCCTCTCTTCTTCCCTCCTCTCATCACATCTACTATTTTCTCCTCTCCTCCTCTTTAGTCCATCACCTGCTAACAGACTTGTACAGCTGACAGTAGAGCAGATATCAGGGATCAGATCAGACTTTGTTGTCCTTATGGCCCCTCTGGTCCTTATCCTATTCACTCTTCTCTCATCCTCTTCACTCTCCTTGCAGTTCTTGTTGCATATTTGCTTTTCTAAGTTCTTGTGAGAGGATAGAAATGGCAAGGTGTTAAGACATTGGCGTCTGTTCCTTTAAACAGTCGTAATCAGACACAGAATCACAGTCATGCTCGAAGGGAACCACGTCATTGATGATTTCAGTACCTTCTGTTGCCTCAGTACCTCCTTGTCACTTTAACACTTGCTAAGTAAATAAATGAATAACATCAAGATATGTTTTACTTTGTTCGAATACAGGCCTTCTGTTGTCCAGTATCAGTATCATGAACATGTGATATCTTTGATATTTGTTTTTTAAAAACATGATGAACACATTTAAGATGAAGTCACTTTTCCTTTGGTCACCTACAAAGCCAATTAAAATGTTAACTGTGTCTGGCAATAATTTACAGCATGCATTGTTTAAACAAGCTATTTGATTAACTGTGTGTGCAAAGTTTGCAAATAAAGTCTTTCTCTGGGTGACTACCCATTGAAGAAACAGTTTCCCACTTCACCCCAAAAAAGAGAGAGAATCTTTAATAAAAGAGAGGAGTAATGACTTTTTGCATTGGAGGAGACACAATCTTATTTTTTCCATCGCAGATTGCTTGTCTCTTCAAATGTCTCTTTCTTCAGGTGGTCTTGATTTGCCACTCACCAAACCAAACACACATACTGTATTTGATAGGTGTTGGACCTTGACTGTCTGTGTGACTGACTGCATTTTTTCCCTTTACATTTTCAACTCTGCTCCCCTGCTGAATGCAGTCGATTAACATCTTATCTTGGACCTCAGTGACGTAGATACAGGAGTCAGGCAGCTCGTGCTGGGGAATATTTCAGGCTTGATTTGTTTGGGTATGTCAGGTCACAGTGGACTCTTTCTCTCTCTTCCTTTACTGGTATAGACTTAGCTTTAAAAGTGTAATACTGGTTATGCTTTAATCTCCAAAAGATGGTCCCAGCTTCTGTTTTTAGCCTAATGTGCTATTTTTTAATAACCAGTAATCCAGCCAGAGTCTAAGCACATCCTCACCACATATTCTGTCACATCAACATTCTGCACACATCATTGATCTGTCAGTGCTCTCTTGTGCCATATGCTCAAGAAAAGAAATCAATCTGAACATGACATTGTGGACTCATATATATGATCAGTGGGAAATACTGGCATGATTTGCTGTTTGCTTATTTAGTTAGTTAAATTGTGAGAAAGTTTCTGCATCTATCCACTTTTCTTCATCCATCCAGAGCCACTGTTAAGTGGGCAGATTGATCCGAAAATACCATACTACAGAGCTTGACATATTTCCTTTTAGGTATCGATCCTCACGTAACAGTATTGATATATATATGTATGTATTTTTACCATTCATTTTAATTATGTATATCTGGGGAAAAAAATGTGTCGAAGAATTCTTGGATAAAAATAAGTCTCTCCCTCCACTTCTTTTAACATAGAATATAAAAGCCACAAACAGTCAGTAAAAACAGCAGGATAATGTGACCTTTGCAAGGAATTAAGCTAAATAGCAATCTTGTGTAAATGCTAATAATTTTTATAATTTATAATTTTTCAGTTACTGTTTTTAAATGACAATTAAAAAAGAAGTCACGCTATTCCTTTTTAAACTTTAATTAAAAATATTTTTTAACCTTTTTTTAAACATTTTTGTACATAAGTTTGCACAGTTGTATTTTATTTTTTTACAAAATTATGGTCGTTTTATTAGGTTGAATATTAAATGGTAAATATTTCTAATTTAACATAAAATAATTACCTATTTTTACAACAGAAATTTCAAAGATTCTTGTGTTTTACTGGCTTTCAAATTGCATAGAAAAGAATGTGGTATTGCGCATCTCCTCTGTTTGTTATAAAGCTCACTGGCTTTGTAACTGGTCTATGTAATACTATGTCATGGGGAATTTCAGGTTGTTTAGCATCATTGCCCGTCATTTACAGCTAGTTCTGGGATGAAATGCTAGGCAAGTGTTTACCAGTAGCCTGTGCTTAATTTTATAGTCCCTTTCATGTCGACTCTCCTGTTTGTACCGAAACAGACAGTTTACCTGTCCTACTTAAATAACAGAGCCTTGAAAGTACTGGCTTTCAAGTTGCATAGAAAAGAATGTGGTATTGCGCATCTCCTCTGTTTGTTATAAAGCTCACTGGCTTTGTAACTGGTCTAAGTAATACTACGTCATGGGGAATTTCAGGCTGTTTAGCATCATTGCCCGTCATTTACAGCTAGTTTTGGGATGAAATGCTAGGCAAGTGTTTACCAGTAGCCTGTGCTTAATTTTATAGTCCCTTTGATGTCGACTCTCATGTTTGCACAGAAACAGGCAGTTTACCTGTCCTACTTAAATAACAGAGCCTTGAAAGTCTGAGTGTCCCTGGCACTAGTGTATAATTAGGTGGTTTCATCAGATCATTTTTCATTAAATAATTTTTTAGTCTGAAGTTAAAGGAACTGAGGCCACCTCTATTGTTATGAAACAGAGTGTGCCAGTTAACTTATATTTTTTGCTTTACCCTTTTAAGTTTAGATGATGTCAGTATTGTGGGTTGCTCAACTATAAATAGATCGGTTTCTTAGCAATTATGAAGCCATACTTGGAGCATACTCACTTGCTCACACATATCTACACACCCATGAAACATGTCTTTTTTTTAATAATATACGATGTTACATAAGGCATTGCTATCTCTGATGCTTTGTTTAAACCACATAAAGAAGTTAATAATTTAAAATTGTTATGTAAGTGTTTTGCATATTCTCAAATCATTCTGTGGGTTGCGGAGCCACAGAGAAGCTTAGGAAACCCCCACAGTGCTTTAAGAGGCAAAAGAGACGAGAGTAAGAGTGCTGAAGAACAGGAAGACTGAGAGAATAAGAGAGGATTACTGTATGTAGGCAGGGGTAATGAATGTGCTGAACCAGCTTTAGCTCAGAGCGAGCTTCTTTATAAATGACGTCAATTAGTGCTGGGCGGTATACCGGTTCATACCGAATACCGGTGTTTAATAGAACTAATAGAACATGATGACACAGAATAACTCATCCACAATATCCACATTGACCGCCACAAATATCCACCGCCCCCTGCCATCAGTTCCTGCGTCTCACACACACGAACACAACTTTAGCACTAGATTTAACAACTTTTAGACCCTTTTAGCAGCTTTTTTCCATAGAATATTCATACTGACAAACCTAGCGACTTTTTTGGATAAACCTTAGCTATGGTTCAGTTGGAAGATTTCGCCAGTGCTGTCCCACGAACGTGAGGTCTGACTTTCCCGGAGAAGTGTCACCTCTCTCGGCATCTGTTCTGTGCAGTGAGCGGCAGAGAAGCAGCGCATTCAGTTGGCCGCACCGCAGCCGACTCGTCAATAAATGAGTACAAAACGAGTTTCCAAGCACCTGTCGCTTACTGATTATATGAGCGTAGTTCGTCTGTTAATATCACATGCACTTTT